ACCACAGCGTCCATCGGCCCACAGCGCCCATCGCCCACAGCGCCCGTTGCCCCACAACATCCATCGCCCCACAGCGTCCATCGCCCAACAGCGCCCATCGCCCCAAGCCCCCATCGCCCCACAGCGCCCATGCCCCACTGCGTCCATCGCCCCACAGCGCCCCACAGCGTCCATCGGCCCACAGCGCCCATTGCACCACAGCGTCCATCGGCCCACAGCGCCCATCGCCCACAGCGCCCGTCGCCCCACAACATCCATCGACCCACAGCGCCCATCGCCCCTCTGCGCTCATGCCCCACAGCGCCCATTCCCCACCGCGTCCATCGCACCACAGCGCCCATCGCCCCACAGCGTCCATCGCCCCACAGCGTCCATCGCCCCACAGCGCCCATCGCCCCACAGCGTCCATCGCGCCACAGCGCCCATCGCCCCACAGCGCCCATTGCCCCACATCATCCATCGCTCCACAGCGCCCATCGCCCCACAATATCGATCGCCCCTCAGCGCCTCACAGTGCCCATCGCCCCACAGAGCCCATCGCCCCACAGCGTCCATCGCGGCACAGTGCCCATCGCCCCACAGAGCCCATCGCCCCACAGCATCCATCGCCCCACAGCGCCCATCGCCCCACAGCGCCCATGCCCCACAGCATCCATCGCACCACAGCGCCCATCCCACCACAGCGCCCATCGCACCACAGCGTCCATCGCCCCACAGCGCCCATCGCCCCACAGCGCCCATCGCCCCACAGCGCACATCGCCCCACAGCGCCCATCCCACCACAGCGCCCATCCCACCACAGCGCCCATCGCACCACAGCATCCATCGCCCCACAGCGCCCATCGCCCCAAAGCCCCCTTCGCCCCACAGCATCCATCGCACCACAGCGCCCATCGCCCCAAAGCCCCCTTCGCCCCATAGCATCCATCGCTCCACAGCGCCGCACAGCGCACATCACCCCACAGCGCCCATCGCCCCAAAGCCCCCTTCGCCCCACAGCATCCATCGATCCACAGCGCCCATCGCCCCAAAGCCACCTTCGCCCCACAGCATTCATCGCCCCACAGCGCCCATCGCCCAGAAGCCCCCTTTGCCCCACGGCATCCATCGCCCCACAGCGCCCATCGCCCCACAGCGTCCATCGCCCACAGCGTCCATCGCCCCACAGCGCCCATCGCCCCACAGCGTCCATCGCGCCACAGCGCCCATCGCCCCACAGCGCCCATTGCCCCACATCATCCATCGCTCCACAGCGCCCATCGCCCCACAATATCGATCGCCCCTCAGCGCCTCACAGTGCCCATCGCCCCACAGAGCCCATCGCCCCACAGCGTCCATCGCGGCACAGTGCCCATTGCCCCACAGAGCCCATCGCCCCACAGCATCCATCGCCCCACAGCGCCCATCGCCCCACAGCGCCCATGCCCCACAGCATCCATCGCACCACAGCGTCCATCGCCCCACAGCGCCCATCGCCCCACAGCGCCCATCGCCCCACAGCGCACATCGCCCCACAGCGCCCATCCCACCACAGCGCCCATCCCACCACAGCGCCCATCGCACCACAGCGTCCATCGCCCCACAGCGCCCATCGCCCCACAGCGCCCATCGCCCCACAACATCCATCGCCCCACAACATCCATCGCCCCACAACATCCATCGCCCACGGCGTCCATCGCCCCACAGCGTCCATCACCCCACAGCGCCCATGCCCCACCGTGTCCATCGCCCCACCGCGTCCATCCCCCCACAGCGCCCATCGCCCCACAGCGTCCATCGCCCCACAGCGCCCATCGCCTCAGAGCGTCCATCGCCCTACAGCGCCCATCGCCCCACAGCGCCCATCGCCCCACAGCGTCCATCGCCCCACAGCGCCCATCGCCCCACAGCGTCCATCGCCCCACAGCGTCCATCGCCCCGCAGCGTCCATCACCCCACAACATCCATCGCCCCACAGCGCCCCACAGCGCCCATCGCCCTACAGCGTCCATCGCCCCACAGCGCTCATGCCCCACAGCGCCCATTCCCCACCGCGTCCATCGCACCACAGCGCCCATCGCCCCAAGCCCCCATCGCCCCACAGCCCCCATCGCCCCGCAGCGTCCATCACCCCACAACATCCATCGCCCCACAGCGCCCCACAGCGCCCAGCGCCCACGGCATCCATCGCCCCACAGCGTCCATCACCCCACAGCACCCATGCCCCATCGCGTCCATCCCCCCACAGCGCCCATCGCCCCACAGCGTCCATTGCCCCATAGCGCCCATCGCCCCACAACCTCCATCGCCCCACAGCGCCCCACAGCGCCCATCGCCCCACAGCGTCCATCGCCCCACAGCATCCATTGCCCCACATCACCCATGCCCCACAGCGTCCATTGCCCCACAGCGTCCATCGCCCCACAGCGTCCATCGCCCTACAGCGCCCATCGCCCCACAGCGCCCATCGCCCCACAGCGTCCATCGCCCCACAGCGCCCCACAGCTTCCATCGCCCCACAGCGCCCATCGCCCCACAGCGTCCATTGCCCCACAGCGCCCATCGCCCCACAGCGTCCATCGCCCCACAGCGCCCCACAGCTTCCATCGCCCCACAGCGCCCATCGTCCCACAACATCCATCGCCTCACAGCGCCCTACATCGTCCTTCGCCCCACAGCATTGATCGCCCCATAGCGCCCATCGCCCCACAACATCCATCGCCCCACAGCGCCCCACAGCGCCCATCGCCCCACAGCGTCCATCGCCCCACAGCATCCATTGCCCCACATCACCCATGCCCCACAGCGTCCATTGCCCCACAGCGTCCATCGCCCCACAGCGTCCATCGCCCTACAGCGTCCATCGCCCCACAGCGCCCATCGCCCCACAGCGTCCATCGCCCCGCAGCGTCCATCACCCTACAACATCCATCGCCCCACAGCGCCCCACAGCGCCCATCGCCCTACAGCGTCCATCGCCCCACCGCGCCCATCACCCCACAACGCCCATCGCCCCACAGTGTCCATTGGGCCACAGCGCCCATCGCCCACGGCGTCCATCCCCCTACAGCGTCCATTGCCCCACAGCGTCCATTGCCCCACAGCGCCCTTCGCCCCTCAGCACCCATCGCCCCACAGCGCCCATCACCCCACAGCGCCCCACAGCGCCTTTCGCCCCACATCGCCCTTCACACCACAGCGCACATCGCCCCACAGCGCCCCACAGCATCCATCGCCCCACAGCGCCCATCGCCCCACGGCGTCCATCACCCCACGGCGTCCATCGCCCCATGGCACTCACCGCCCCACAGCGTCCACCGCCCACGGTTTCTGTCACCCATATGCCCACAGCACAGGCCGCAGCAGGCCGGCTCTTTCTCTTTTTTAAATTAGACGTTGGGTGACGTTGGTTAACAGGATCATATAGGGTTCAATGTGCACTGGTTTGGTGTGTGATCTGTACACTGCATGTGTGCTCACCACCAGGTCAGACCATCTCTGTTGGCAGCCACAGGCACATGGGTTGTTTCCCATTTATCTCAACTGGTTTCTCCCCATCCTGCCCCGCTGGCTGCATCCACAGCCGCTTAAATTCAACGGAGGCTGTGGCAAGAGGCCAGCCCTGGCCTCTCCCTTTCAGGGAACTCAGGGCTCCTGGGGGGGCCAACCCCAGGGCCACATACCCTTTGATGGGACAGGTGAGGAGCAAAATGTAGTTGATGCTCTTTGGCCAGCAGGACCCAGGGGGAGCAGAGGGAGTTAGGAGGGTCCTGGAGAGGAAGCCAGAAAGATGGCTGGGGCCCAGGAGGGGGCCTGGGAAGGGCTCTCACTGTCCACCCTTTCACTGAAACCACTCTCTGTCCAATTTGGCTCCTTTTTGTTGGGAACTGTGGGGGGTTGGGAAGAGGTGTTATCTATCTGGTGATCTGCATACACATCAAACCACAAATGGCACAACCTGAGGGCTGCCGAATGGCCTTGGGTAAGTCAGACACAGTCTCTGGGCCTGTTTTCCTGGTTATGAGATGGAACTGTGACCGTCTGCCGTGGCACACCCAGTCCATGCAGATCTGAGCCAGAGTGAGGGCGGCTACACCAGAGGCTCAGAGGCACCTCCTCCAGGGCACAGGGGCCCTCCCTCCTCCTCTTTCGAAGGAAGGGGTGGGGAGCAGGCGAGCTGGCAGAGAGGGCCAGGTTTGGAGTGCAGGCCATGGCGGGTGGGACAGCGCCTCCTTCTCCGCACCCCGCGTCTGGGCTCAGGGACTATCCTCCCTGCCCATCCCTGCCTTGGCTGTGAGCTCTGAGTGGCATCTCCTGAACAGCTTATCAGCGGGAGGTGTGTGTGTGTGTGTGTGTGTGTGTGTGTGTGTGTGTGTAGGGGGGACAGGGGGCACAGTGAGTGACCCTGGTCCCTGGGGCGGGCTTGTTATTCCCCACACCCCAGGTGGCTAACAGGAAGCCAGCTCTGCAGTCCCCTGGACAAGGGGATTTTTCTCCGTCTGCAGGAAAGCCCCACTGGGTGTCCTGGACACAGCCCAGGCGGCCTCCTGCTGGCAGTCGGTCCTCTGTGCACTTTTGCTTTCCTTTTACTCAGCATATGATATTCCTGGTAGCGGCTCCTTGCACACGCCCTCCGCCCTCCGTGTGCTTTGATCCAGTGACCTCATCTCCACAACCTCTAAATCTCGGACTTCTAGGAAAGTGAAACCTAGCAGCGGCCCATCGTCCCCTGGGCCGGCCTGCTGACCCATGGCTTCCTGCCAGATCGGCCTGCGGCCAGCAGGGTGGCAAAGGCTCCTCCCTGCCCCCCACCCCATGGCCGGCCCAGCCACCTTCCCTGCGGGCTCCTCCTGCCTCGTCCCTCCTAGCGTGTGCGTGCCCACCCTGCAGAGTCCCCGATTTTCCTCCTCCCCCAACACAGCCCTGGGACCTGTAATGTCACTTCCTCTTCGCTCTTCCTGCTCCCAGGGCTGAAGCTTCCTTCTGCCTTTTCTCCCAGTGGTATTTCTTTTTTTCTTTTTCAGGGGAGAGCGCGAACGCAGTCCCCCACTGCCACAAATGATCAGTCGCGCTTCCCACGGGAAATGGCCGGAGTCAGCACATCTGGAGCGCAAGGGACAAGCCTCGCCCTGGGAGAACCACCTTCTGATCCTGGTCTCTCCCCTGCCAGGTAGCTGCCCCGGTGCTACTTTAGTCGTCTATTTTTTTAAACATTATTTAAAAATTAAGATAAAATTTACATACACAGCATCCACCCCTTTAAAATGTCAGTTCAAAAATGTAACACTAAATTAGAGTGTGCAGTTCAGTGGTTTTTAGTTGTGCGACTCTCAGCACAATCAATTTTAGAACATTTTTCTCACCCCAAAAAGAAACCCCAGCCCCTCCGTTGTCACTCCCATGGCTCCCTTCCCCAGCTCCTTGCACCCACGCATCGACTTCCTGCAGATAAATACTTTCTTTTTGCACCATCTTTTTCTTTGCCAGCTTTTTGAGAATTAAGAAATGCTTCAATTAACTCTGGACATCCTACATTTTCTCCAGGATCACAAGCATTGCCAGCTCCTGTGCCTCCCTCCGATTCAGGAAACACGCCTCCCCATTCGTTCCGCATTGGCCCAACACTCTTTCCACTACAAACTCTCAGGCTCTGCCTCGCCAACGTTGTTACTCTCCGTTCTGCTTCTTTCCCACGTTTTGTGATGCAGTCTGGTTGGAGGCCATTGTTTATTGCAGACTGAGGAGTCCGTTCCCGCCTCGGAGCTGCTCCGAGTCCCGCATCTCGGCATCTCTGTGTGTTCCTCCAGTGACTGTCACAAAATACCTCGCACAATCAACCGTGGCACATGTGCTCAAGCACATGACAGAATCAGAAAAATCATGCTAGTGCTTAAATAAGATAAATTGCATCAAGAGACTCATATTAGACATTTGCTCAGCAAATTATATAAAAATAAATTATTTGAGATTTAAATATTAGCTATTAAGTGGAAAAGTCATATAATTCTGCAAAGACATCAAGTCAAAGGAAACTCAAGCTGCAGTAGCAAGCACACCCACGGTTTCCGAGTCTTGGCACAATGAAGGTGGCTCCTCGGGCACATTCCAGTCCAGAGCCCCACTTCCTAGTCAGCATCACCCCTCTCTTGGGGGTCCAGTGTCCCCTAGAACCTCCGCGTCCTCCGCATCCAGGAAGCAGGTGGTGGAAGAAAGGGTGGAGCCTTGGTCCGGAAAGAGCACATGTCCTTTCTCTCACGGTCTATGGAGGAGGTTTAGAACGCAGTCCCAGGCTGGGCGGCTGCTTCCCGGAAGCTGGTCCCCACTTGGAATCTTGCTGAGTACCGGCACATTTCAGATCCAAAATGTGTCACGGGCATTGGGACACTATATGTCAATGGAGCCGATAGGCGTGGAGGCCGTGCACACTGCCCACACCCCTGCTCACTGCACACGCTATTGCCCTGTTCTAAACCACACTTGTATTCTTGCCCTCGCTCTTTCTTTATTTCTGTCTGATGCCCCAAGATTCCTTCTTTTGCTATTGCTTTTATGCTTGGAGAACCTCCTTTAGCGTCTGCTTTAGGCCTGCTGGTGACAAATTCTCTTCGTTTTCCTCCATGGGAGATCTTGACCTCCTCTTCTTTCCTGAAGGGTCATTCCTCTGGACATCGAATTCTGAATTGATAGTTCTTTTTAGGGGAAACTACGCTTTTCTAATCTGTTCTGAAATTAGAATTGTATATTCCTTCAATGGTTTGGAAATTATATATTTTGTTCATATGTTCTTCAATATACCAATTAAACTTACATGTTTTTCATTTTTTATTGTTAATAACTACATCTTCCCAATGAGAAAAAGAACCTTAGCATCTTTTGCTTCCCTCCACTGCACCTATGATATCATCATTCCAGATTATTGTTGAATTTTTTTTTTTTTTTTTGCAATTACCATTTATATAGACTCAACTTTTTGGATTTCATGGTCATCATAGCATTAACTTTCTGTTTTCTTCTCTCTTTTTTTTGTTGTTTTTTGTTAATCCTCACCCAAAGATATTTTTTCCACTGATTTTTTTTTTTTTTTTTTAGAGAGAGAATGGAAGGGAGGGGGAGAAACAAAGAGAGAGAAGTGTCAATGTGAGAAAGACACATTGATTGGTTGCCTCCCGCACGCACCCCAAACGGCACCAGGATTGAGCCTGCATCTGAGGTAAGTGCCCGTGACCGGAATCAAGCCTGCCACCCTTCAGTCCATGAGCCCATGCTCTAACCACGGAGAAACCGGCTAGAGCCATGTTTTTCTTCTTTATGAATCAATTCCTCAAATAGTTCTTCCATCAAGGGAATAAAATACTGTCATTTTATACCTGAAAATTTCATTTTGCTCCCACAGTTGAATGAGAGAGTAGCTGCTTGTAGAATTATAGATTTCAGAATTATCCCTCAGCAAAATGGAGACTTAAGAACTGTACATTTTACTGTATGGAAATCATACCTCAGTAAAATTTTAAAAATCTCCCTCAACTTTGAATATATTCAGCATCCAATATTATTAAGGCAAGTCTACTGTTAATGTGATTCAGATTATTTTGTATGCAATCCATGTTTTTCTCCTTGGGTAGTCTCTTTATCCCCAATTCTCTGAAATTTCATCACTATATGTCAAGATAAAGATCTTTTTTATATATATTCTGTTTGGCAGCTGGTGGACTTTTTTAGTCTGAAGAGTCATGTCTTTCTTAATGTAAATTTTTCTCTATTCTTTTTTTTTCTATTCTATTTCTATTTATTAAATGATCTACTTTTATTCTTCCTCATTTTTAGTAGATATTTGAAAAATCTTTACCTTGGAAGCCTCATGATATATGACGTAGGTCACATTCTTCAAAGAATTTTCAAAGTACTTCCACCACTTGATGTATCACTAATTGAATTGTGCTAATGATTAGCAAAAAAGCATTTAGGATACAATGAATAGGCAAGCCACAGACTGGGATAAAATCAGAATACATATAATGGCAAAGGATTTGTATTCAATATATAAAGCGCTCCTTCTGTAAGATGAATACACTTAAGATGGGCAAAATGCACTGAACTAAATAAGAACTATATTGTGTAATAAGTAGTAAGACATATTTTTAAGCATTTAAATACAATTAAGTTACTTTATTTTTAATTTTTTTAATGGTAAAATAGACGTTTTATTTATTTGTATGTAAACTTATAAACCAACCAGCCAAACTGGTACTATTGTCATGACAGCAAAATACAAAAAACATCTTCTACAAATACTTGAGTAATAACAAATTAAAGGTTGTAGTAAAACAGCAAAAGGGGCAGAGGAAATTAGTGAAGCATATTATAGCTTAACCATTCACCTGAACTGAAGCTTTGAACAAGCCTTCCAATCCCAGAAAACATGAGTAATCCTTTATCACACACCTTTGTACTTTTACTTGCTATTTTTGAGGTTAAGATTCTAGATCTAGAGTTATCCAAATACTAAATCTAGGATTATATCTAATTATCTATAGCCAGAGGCATCTTTTATCATTTGTCTAACAGCAGCAAGACTACAAAGCCTCTTTACTTAGACTCCAGTCATACCTGACCAGCCTCCCCTCCAAATTGGCACAGCAGGCATAATGAGAGGCAGCACATCAAGGCAGAGTTATGTAGAAAAATCCTAGGAGAGGTAATACAGCCACTGCCCAAACTGAGATTGAGTAATATACACATCATCACACTCTGTTCAGGGCTATATGTTCATGGACTCAGGCGATATGCTCATGGAATAATCTGGGAATAAATCCGCGATTGCTGGGTACCACAATACGTAGGGGCTTGTAGTATTCCATTATAGGTTTCCCCAGCAATTTCCAAGGAGGCCTCCAAATCACGGACAGGATTTTGCCAGAACTGGCTCTGGGGCTGCAGGGATTCCTCTCCATAACTATAGAACTGGCTGTTCCAGGCCTGGGGACACCAGGTCTGACCATTCCAGGCAGGGTAGTTCCAAGACGGGCTGCTCCAGGAATGGCTGCTCCACATGGAGAGGTTTCCAGCAGCGTTCGCCAGGCATCCCGGCGGCAGGTGAGAGGCCCGGGTCGTCTGTAGTTGCTGAGCTCCCGGGGCCACGGTGGCTCTTCTTTGGCCGGTTGTACTTCTGCCACCGCCTACATTTCGTTCTCCGGTTCTGGAACCAGGTCTTACTCTGTTGGTTGCTAAGGGCCGGGATGTTGGAACGTTCTTGCCTCTGCTGGAGGCTGAGATATTTCTGTCTTTGAAATCTCTCATTGAGTCCACAGAGCTGGGGCTGTGAGCAGACGGTTCAGATCTTCTGATTCTTGACCTGGGCTTTCTCCTCCTCCCCGTCCCGTTCTCTACAGAAGTGGGAAGTGTTGCACTGGGCCTGCTGGGACTGGTGGGAGAACCAGGGCTTTCTGATAAAGCAGTCCCTGTGTGGAGTGTCTCAGCAGATGACATTTGCAAGATGCAGAGTCTTCTTCAAGCTCATACATCTCAGGCACTGGTGAAGGCTCCCTAGATTTGGATGATTCGGAGCAGGGCAGGCTTTGGGGATAAGCCGAATCCACACTCATGTTGCTGAGTTGAAGGAGAGAGAAAAAAACACCAAAGAGCTAGAAGATTGTAGGAAAGACCCAGGCTTCCGTATTTAGCTAGAAGAGCTTAGAGAAATACGAAAATCCCCAGATGTAAAGGTATCAAAAAGACGGGAGGAAATGGGTCAGCTTTGCAGTGACAGTCAATTTTGCAAAAAAGATGAAAAATTTGGAGGCTCTGGATTTATAAAGGAGGCTCAACCAAATTTAGGCCGGCCCTCCTGGCCCAATCAAGTTACTTGGTAAGAAAATCTGTCATTTCAAATTTTGGGGGTGGAGTAGGGGTAACTAGCTGATTGTTTCAGGTCGATCATGCTCCTACAAAGTGTACACTTTTTGTTGGTTATTAATTAAAGGTTCCAGGATCAACACAAGGATAAGCACGAAATTCCCCCAGTTTGTTGCCTTCTGAGTCATAGTGAAGCATTCGGAAGCAAGCATCACAAAAGAAACATGGATCATCTGGTGCAAAACTGTCATCGTTGGTCACCCATCTGGCTGTGTACATTTTACAAACAAATCGTTTTCTGGTCCATAGCCAAAGCTTGGTAAGAA